CATTTTTCATTTTTTTGTGTCGATTTGTTTATCAAAAATTTATGCATTCTTATTGGCTGTTTTTTATTCGGGTGGGGATTACATAGTGTATCACGTATATTTCAAGGGTGCGCCAGATGGATCATAATTTACATGATTCGACCCTTGCAGATCACCAGATGGATTGTATCCGATCCTTGTGGATCACGTGATATTCAGCATGATCCAATTTCAACATGATCCTCCATATTATATACAATATAAATAACATATTAAATACTTTTAAATAAAAATAGAAATTAATTTTAAAAATTAATTGATTTTGTAGAATTAAAAAAATTAATTTATTAATTACACACTCCTATACTGTATTATTAAAAAATAATAAAACATAGTAAAATTGATATTATTTCTTTATATTAAAATTTATTATTTTATTAATAAAATAATAAATTTTGATATAAAGAAATAATATTAATTTTATTAGATTTTTTTAATTTCTGGTAATATAGTATAGAGTATGTAGTATTTTAATTTACAAATTAGAACAAGAGCTAAAGAAAATTAACAAAAAATCAAATTTATATTAAAAAAATATTTAAGTCTTATATTAATTTTTACTAAAATTAATATAGTTCAAAAAAATAAAAATATAAAAGATATAAAAAATGGGATTTTAAAAAAATAAAAATATTGTAAAATAAAAAGTAATAATATTTTAATTATAAAATAATTAAGTTTTAATTCTTTATAATAATATTAAGCATTTCAGAGCTATTTTTTATTTTATAAAAATTAGCAAGCAAATTTGCTTGTTAAATTTGTAAATTTCAAGTTTTATTTAATTAAAAAATAATATTAACTTATAAAATAAATTATATATAAATATATAACTTATATATTATAATTTTATTTGCAAAAAAAATTTTAATTGTAATTAAAATAATAAATTTTGAAATAACAAAAATTTTGTAAAATTTATTATTAAACTTAGATAATTTATTATTTATAAAGTATTAATATATAATTTTAATATTAATTTATAATTATAATTATAGTTTATAACTTTGATTATTATTTTAATATTTTATAATATATATATTTTATAAATAATCTTAAAAATATAGAAATTTAATATAAAATATCATTCACAAATATAATAATAATTCTAAAAATAATTTTTAAAATCAAATATTTTCAAACTTACAAATATAAATATTATATATAATTATTTAATTTCAAGAATTGATGCTAATAAAATATTATTAAAAAATTTTGGCAAGCAAATTTGCTTGTTGTATAATTAAGAGATAATAATACAATTATTAGTACAAAAATAACAAAAATTCTTTCACCTTGTTCTTATAAATAAGAAATACATCTTTAGCAAATGAGAAATATCAATAAAACAAACTATCAAAATTCAAAGATTTTTGTTTTTTGTGAGATTTTTGCCATTTTTGGATGTTATATACATGTACATGTAGTATTGCATTATTCTAATACATGTACTCAGTAACGGTAATACAAAATACAAATGCGTATCGGTATTGTCATGTGTATGATGTACGCATCGATTTTTCACCTTACATCACTTCTTTAAGAGCTTGTACTGTACGTTTTATCGTAGGACTCAATTCGAACTTCGTCGTTTCTGACAGTGGATTATACCAAGATATAGTCGACCAATTAAAGTATTTAATAAGACTAACGCACTGGTACATAACGAAATCAATAGAATAATATCGTATTCGACAACAGCTAGCCAATAGTAAATCTAGACAATAAACATTCAAACATTAAAAATCATAGTATTGATTTTAAATTTAATGAATTTGTCAAATATATTTTATTCAATTACCCGTATAATAAACTGCGGAATATCCTCAATAAGTAAATTCAATGTGCTCGTTGTAAATATAACGGTCTCAGCATGTTCGGAAAACGTAGCAGAAAAGATTTTCAGGCCTGCCACTTGAGAAGTAAGTACATGCAATATAACGACATCGCCACTGGCAATCAGAGTTAACGCTGCAGCGACTTGTGGATACTTTCGGAGCCATGAATTAAATTTATCGTTTCGTGAATTTTCCGATAGTATTACGTAGAAAGCGACGACGCAATTCATGACAACTGGAATTATTAGTGTGAGTAAACTATAGCGATAAGTAAATGTTTTGTTAGTAACGAAAAAATAATAATTTGCTTATAATAATAAAGATTTCATACCTGAACTTAAAAAGTTTCGGTACATCTTTACCATTAAAGATTACAAATGTAAAATCGAAAACAATATCTTGTAGAATCAATGCACTAGTAATAATAACAGTATTTTGGCCCTATTGATGAGAAATTTTTCAAAAATGAATTTTGTGCATAAATAATATCACAAAAATTATCAGAAATGAAATAGAAAGATTGAAACTGTAACTTACTTTTTTATTCTTACGTCGAGCTAAGAAAAACACAATAGCAATCAAGAAAATGACAGCAATAGCTATAAGAAACGCAAGCTTGTATTTTTCCAATAAATCGACTTACATAAAAGAATTCATTAAATTAATATTAACTTACTATAAATATGAAATTCAATAATTGGAAAATATTATTTACTTGATTCCTGGAACCCATAACTACTGTCCAACCACTCGGTATAATTATATTTTGAAATAGACGTGATATCCTTGTATTTTATAAGAGTCTTTAAATTGCTTATAACCTGTTGGACGCTATTTTCGGAATTATTTTCTGAAGGTAGAATAATTAATCGAAGAAGAATTTGATCACCGTCGATTTGGTATTTTTTCTTTATTTCGAGTCTTTTGCGTGAGATTGGAATAACTTTTGCGAGCTCATTCGATATATTTTCATATATGGATGAACCACTCTTTAATGAGTTTTTGAATGCTATTGTACCCGCAGGCGTCAATCGAATTATTCCTGATTTTCTACCTATTATTTAATATTTATGTATCAGTAATTAATTTATTCATCATAAATCAAGATAATAATTTTTATAAAGTGGATACCATTATCGCCTTCACCAGTTTTATATGGCTCTAAAAATTTAAAAAAAGTGTTTTATATAATAATAGCTGTAGAGACAAAAAAGACAATCAAAAGTATTTACCAGTAGTAAATCGCCAACTTTCTTTATCCATTCCAAGTAACGCTTCACTTGTATCAGAATCTCGAACGAAATTCGTGTCCACAATTATATAATAAGTAGCATTTGGGACATTAAAAGTAGAGTCCAAAACAGAAATCGAGACTTTTTTCTCTTGGACAGTAATTTGAAGAGATTGCGACAATTGGTTTCCTCCTTGACGAAACATATCAGCTGATCCATATTTGCCTTCTTGATATATTGTAATATTACCGGATGATAAGATAACAGGTTCGCTATATGTGATGCTTATTTGTGCGATATTAGCTGGAATAACGGCTCCGATTGTGGGAAATGTAGTGTCGATATTTGGATTTCGATAACGTTCATCAGCGCCTTATTGTAAAATTACTACGTAGGTAAACTCGAAAAGGATAAAAATAAATTATAAATAAACAAGAAACATACTTGCAGCTTTAAGCCTAGGAAATGTTTTTGTTATTATTGTCCAATTTTTAGCCGCTAGTGTATCTTTTTTTGCAGCCCATATAGTATTGCTTAAAGGAAACACATTTGAATGATTAGAAAATGTTTCAAAACTCCATTTTTCTCTTACGTTGCCATCACGATCCAGCATATCACCTCCTGTCTTGTCTGTCTTTACTGCTTCATATATAACATATCCACCGTAGAAAAGTGGATTCACGGAATTCATTTGAGAACTAACATTTAATTTTTGAATGGCAATCACAGAACAGTAACTTCTAAACTGAATACTTGAATATATTTTAAGAGGTGTGTTTAGATCTGCTAATGTTGTATTACCAAGGCCATTTGTATTATTACCGTTACCATCTGTGGTTGCTGTTTGATTTTGAGTTTTCATCGAAACAGTACGATTCATCGATGCTATCATAAGACATTCATTTCCAGTTCCATCAAAGACTACTGCACACCGCTTTAGCTCCAGTTTTAATAATTGTACAGGTGTCTGATACTGAAGAAAAGGTTTTGTCGGAATCGAGCTGCCAGGTCTCAAAAATGATGCATATACATTCCATTGCGGAAACGTTGCATCCTGTAATTCCAGTGGACTTTGAGATATATATTGGGTGACTATAGTACAGCCAAATCCTCCATCAAGTAAACTGAATGGCCTGTAATCTATAATATTTTCATTTACGGATTTATTGTAGAAAAAACCTTCCCCGTCATCCGATATTTGGCCGTTTTCATCACTTTAGAATAAAATGAAAGAAATTTATTAAGATAATATATATTGAAATTAATTTAAATTGACGAATTTATTTACGGTTTTGTGAATCTGTTCCATCCTATATTTCCATTAGGTAATTGATAGGTTCTTAGTATCCCGCTTGAAGAGCTAAATCCAATTGTAAATTTTCTGTTATATGACCCAAAACCAAGCAGAAAATTACTGATTATATAAAACATGTATTAATAATAGTTAAGATTCAAAAGTTTATCGTTATAAAAAAATAAATATAACATGATAACAAAATTATAAATTACTTTTTAATATTTCCCCAATAGTCTACCAAAACTCCATTTTCTCGATAAACGCCATTCACTTTGGGTGCAGCATCCGAAAAATCAAAATAATTTAACAGAATAAGATTCGGTTCTACTAAAAGCGCGTAAATCCAGTCAGTCGGACAATAATTCCATTTATTCACAGGAAAGTCGAAATCCAATGGACGAACAGTTCCATTTGAGAAAACGAGTCGTAAATGCATGCGCGGCTCTCCGGGTATATTGCATTGCAAGATGCTGTCGTTTTTTATCATACGCATTACTATCGTTCCGTATACATCAACGTAACTATCGAAAATTATGAGGTTATCTTGGTCTTCGGTGTATGAGACACTAGAATAGGCGGAGGTATATATTACTCTTGAATATGTCGCTAGAATTGTCAAATACAAAAAATACTTGAGAAAATTTATAAAGTGGAATTTGGTTTCGAAGACTTGTGTTAACGCCATCGTAGTCCTTTGCATCAATCAATATTAAATTTAATTTTATTATTTATAGATAGTACAATTTTTTGTAAAAAAATCTATATCGCTATATTGGGGGTGGAGTCAGTACAAATTAATCTAATAGATTTGTCCCTTTTATATTTTTTTCTACTGACTTCACCCAATATTTAGATTATATTGTACACATGTAGAACATTACATACATGAAGCGGAATTTATTATGTACTGTACAATTCATAGTGTCGTGGGTCGACGATTTTTCTGCAACAATGGGTTGGGGAGAGTGAATAGACTGAGCAATATACGTTAGTTCTAATTCCTGTGCTGATATCTACGGATATTGTTCGAGCGGGTTTAAGGTAAGGTGGTTTCGGGTTCTATATTTTACGTGATGGGTGGTTCTCTTATCAATAATATTTTTCTTATTAACTTCCAATCGTTGCTTCTTCTAACTAAATGCCTTAAACTACGTACATACAAAGCACTTTTCAATCAATCAATATCGATATCGATATGCCGTTTCAATGCCTTTTTTAGATGAACACAATTACAAATCTAACGCTAATTTAGAATTGTACACTGATAAATCACCGTGCATATGCATTATTCTTTATTGAGTACGTATTGTTTTGCTTTGTTTTAATTTTCTCTTTGTCCTGAATTTTTACATTGTTTCGACCTTTTATTTGTATATTGAAAACACTAATCACTTTTCTTTCTATTCATAATGTCCTTACTACAAAAAGAATTATCCTTAGAACTTTGTGAGGTGCGTATCATATGGAGAGCAATGCTTCAGCTATTCTTTCTACCCTCGTTATCCCAAAGCAAACAGTACGTGATACAATTAATTAGTTTAAGAAAACAGGTTCTCCACATCCTGTAAAACGCACTGGATGACCAAAAATTTTATCAGGACGTATTAAACGAAGTTTAAGGCGTATTGCAAAATGCATATATTAATATTTCAATTCACTCTAATACCGCTCGTAATTGCATGCAATTATTATTTGAATCTCACTAAGTAAGTCATAAACCTCTTTTTACCCACTCAACATAAAAAAAATCGTTCACTAAATCGTATGGTCAGATGAATCATGATTTTTTCCTTTTCCATTCAGACAGACGTACAAGAGTATGGCAAAATCTTTTAAAAAAACCTAGAAGGTTGTGTGGTTCCAACAGTAAAATTTGGTGGAGTATCGGTAATGTTTTAGTGATGTATTGGATGGGGATGGGATGGAGTTGGACTTTTGGTAGAAGTTAACAACAATCTCGATTCTGACAGTTATGTTAATATTCTTTCCAAATATGAGTAATCATTCTTATACTTCTTTTCAAAAAGATGTTACTTCCTGTCATACTTCGCATTATAGTCGTTGGTGGATGCAAACACACAATATTCCAGTTCAAAGTCCCAATTTAAATCCAAATTAGAAAAGGAAACCTTTTCCGACTTCCAAAAGGATTTAATTGAGGTTAGAGATGGCGCAGCAAGTATGTGACGCTTATTTGTCACCCGTTGCAACATGTTGCAACTCCAAAATTTTATAAGTCGCAACTAGTTGCAACTAGGTGATGCTTTATTTGTCACCACGTTGCAACAGTTACCGCGCCATCTTTAATTGAGGTATTGAAGGAAGAATGGCCAAAAATGCCTTCCGATGTTGTACGCAATTTAATCTCCAGTATGCGGCGACGAGTTGCAGCTGTTATTAAAGCTAAAGGATCCATACACATTATTAGATTATTAATATTTTTTATACAAATATTTTTTTCTATCCATATATTTTTAAATATCGTTACTAAGTAAACTTTAGTTTAAATAAAAAAGAAACTATAGATACTTTTTAGAATCAGAAATTTGCACAGTGATTTATCGTAGGTCAGTGTTCGCAATTAATTCTGAATTTTTATTAATTTCCTTATGGACTATATATATATATTTGATTACATTGTGAAGTAATTTATTGCATAAAACACACTATGGTTTAAGAGAGAATTTAAAAGAGAATTTGTGAGAGAACTTAAAATATAATTAAGGATCGAAAAAAATAGAAATTAAAATATAACACCGCATAGAGATCGGGATATAATTTTGGAGCGAATAAAAATAGTAGGGTTGTTAATGGAGCAGGTTAGCTTCGGGTTACTATTAATGATACTTGACGATGACGAAACCTTTCGTCATGACCATTTTGAAAATGTCTGTGACGAATAACGAAACCTTCTGACCGATAAAATAGTACGTAGTTGATGCTTGACGATGATGACCATTTTTGGAAATGAACAATGCGCAAATGCATACATGTATTGATTTTCACGAAACCTCTCGCCACTTTGGAAACGTAAATGGCGAATGACAATTTTGGCAAACTAAACCATAAAAACAATAGCAATAAGTCAAGATTTATCAATATATCAATTTGTTTTTTGCATAATTTTTACCAGAGGTATATATTTAAAATTATACACTTTTCTCAAGTTCTAGCCAAAATTCAGCATAATTTTATTGTCTATGGCCTTCAGCCAATCAAACACATGTATTGTTACGGGAATCTTGTGATTTGTTAGAAAGGGAAGGATTTCCTATAAACAGTAGTTTTTGGAAGAGCAAGAGTTTGGATGACAATTAGTGTTACCTGTGCCGATATCAACGGATATCGTATTTTACGTTGGATTTTGGGTAAATGCATGTTAAGATGTTTTCTTTGTTTGATAATTTCTAAACCATTGGGTCAACTATCAAGATCGATTACCATTGTCAATCTTCCAAGTTAAAAGCCCAGCATCACCGATATTGAGGGCGCAGTCACATGATATTCCGATGCAATTTTTGATCTGCATCCAATAAGAATGCAGAATTTTTGGTCAGATCGGCAAAACAATCGACACAAGAAAAGAAAAAAATACAAAAATGCAAAAAATATGAGAAACAGGTACCTAAATCTAGCTTGAGTACTAATTAAAAACGCCAGGGAAAACAATTTTATATATAACAGCTCTAACTCTAACCCTAATCCTAAAACCAACTTTTTAATGTTAATTAATATTGCAGTAGAATTTTCTGAGATCAGTGACTGCGCCCTTTATTATTGGTGATGCTGGACTTTTTAAGGTTCTAACCATCAGTCAATTCAATCGATTGCTACGAGGGAATTTTACAAGTTTATTTTACTTGAAGAACAACAATTCTGAATTCTAGATCTTAAGATTATAATTAAAAAAATTAATCAGAGAAAAAAATAAAAAGTATTGTTTAAGAAAGTATATAAGACATAATTAAGAGTTTGTATAAGAGAGAAATTATAACAATTAAAAAAAGCAGATACAAAATGAATTAATAAAAATGTTTAAGAGAAAAAATTGTAATATAATTAAAAAAAATATAAAACAAAATATCTAAAAAAGAGATTTATAAGGAAAAAAAGAGAAAACTGTGATTAAAAAATAGTAATAAAATAAAAGTAAACATCAGATAGATTATTTAAGAGAGATTCGTGATGAAAGAGAAAAAATCGTAATCAAAAAGAAAAATTGTAACAAATATAAAAGTAAATATTAAATAGAATATGTGAGCTATAAAAAAATTTTGAACATATCAGACAAAAATCTATTTTTATTGCTAAACTAAAAATAGTTTTAAAAAATTCAATATTAGTTACATTTTTTTACTGGATAAAAATGAATCTATCTAAAAAAAACTAGTTTTATTTTAGAAAAAATCCATTTCTATTATTAGTATAAAAATAATTTTTAAAAAATTTGATATAATTCTGTTTTTTTACTAGATAAAAAATTAATTTATATAAAAATTTGATTTATTTTAGAAAAATCCATTTTTATTACCAAAATAAAAATAGTTTGTAAAAAATTAGATATATAATTCATACAAATAATTTTTGATATAGTAAATTTATTAGATCATAACCAAATCTTTATTATATTAAAAAATTTATTATATTAAAAATCTCTTAATATAATAAAAATTATATATAATAATATAAATTTTCATTATATTAAAAATTATATGATAATAGATTAATAAGAATATGTGAATCTTATATAAAATATTTAATTAATAATAAATAGTTATTATAAAACTCACATTTTTTTTATAAAGCTTGATTTAACTATAATATATATATATATATATATATCAAAAATCAAGTATATATTATATTATTTGCATAAATATAATTATTTATTTAATAAAATAATAAGTTTTTTTCTTATTATATATATTTATTTCTTTATATTATAAACTATCTTTTTCTTATTCCTTTAAACAAATCTATCTAAAATAATTTATTATTTTAAAATAACTTACTTATAACAGATTTCTTTTTTTAATTTTTATAAATTCTTAATAATAATATTATTAATTATAAAATTACTATTGGATTATTATTCAAAAAAAATCAGAATATTATTAATATATATTAAGATTTATATATAAGTGTAAGAATACTTATGTGAAAAATAATAAGATAAATTTATTAATTGCTATAAATAAATTATATCAATTGAGATAGTTTTCAATTTTAATTTTAATAAAGCTTATTTCTTTATTTATTAAATAGTAAAAAGATCTAAAGAGTTATAGTACAGAACAGAGATATTTAAATACATAATTGATATTAAACAAATTACAAATAATTTAATAATTTAATAGAAAGTAATTGATTCTAAATTATTAATCTTAAAGGTGACACATCTCCAAATTATGCTGTACTTAATGAATATGTATAAAATATAAATAATAATGAAAGATAATTAATATGAATTAAAAATAATAAAAGAAAAAGAAAAGAATGAATAAAAATAAAAGTAATTAAAAACAATGTGTATTCAAATTAATAATATGATCTATATTTTACATTTAATCTAATTAGTATAACATTAAGAAGTATTAAATGTAGATCTGTGTTAATTTCTAACATGTTAATATAGTGCAACTAAAAGTAATAATAAAATTGATAAATATGATAAATATGATAAAT